AATGATACCGTTATTTTGATGTGGTTTTGTTCTCTGAGCTGGATAGTTAGTTTGCGAAGCTTTCATCACCTTACTGGGTGACATCTTCAGCGCATACTTCAATTTGAAGTGAGCTTTTAGGTTTCTCCACGAGTTTATTAATCATCTCTCCTGGTGACCTTGGACGTGATTGGTTGTTTGTGTGTGTTTTCACACCTTCTAGGTTACTTGTGTTGGAACTGATTGTTTCTGTGACTTGAACTTTGGCCAATCGTGTGTGAAGTTTCTTTCTTATTGGTTGATAAATTTTGTCTATCTAGATGTGTCTATTGATTGATGATTCACTGGAATACCAGGTGGTCTTCTAAAAATTCTCTAGCATTCTTGTTATTTCCTGTGTCTAATATTTGAACGTTGGTTGCCCCAGTCGAATTGATGTCCGTGGTTGTCTGTGTGTAGTGAAATGAGGGAGTGGATATCATGTCTTTTGACGGCTAGCTTATGATCGTGGATACGAAGACGAAGGGGACGTCCACTTTGGCCAATGTAGTGTTTTTCACAGTTGTTACAGTTTATTTTGTAGATGATGTTGGTTTTGTCTTCTTTTGCTGTTGAGTCTTTTGGTTGACATAGAATTGAGTGCAGCGACTTTGTTGGTTTGTGTACGACGTCAATTCCTAAAGGTTTGAAGAGTCTTGTAGTGATTTCTGAGATATCCTTTATATATGGTAAGGCGATTTTCTTTGTGTTTTCCTTGGTGGCTTTTGTTTTGTTAGGTTGACTTGGGGGTATATGTCTCTTGATGAAATTCCGGGGATATCCATTCTATTGGAAGACGTCCATGAGATATTTTTCTTCAATTTTCCTTAAGGTGGGAGTGCTGCAATGAGTCCTTGCGCTCTTGAATAGTGTTCGCATGCAATTCCTTTTGTGTGTTATTGGATTGTTCCTGTTGTAATTCCGGATTTGGTCTGTATGAGCTGATTTTCTATAAACTTGAGTTTCTAAATCCCCTGTGGTTGTTCGCTTGACTAAGACGTCCAAAAATGGTATTTTGTTCTCGGATTCCTCTTCTCTTGTGAATTTGATGTCGTTGAAGATGTTGTTTATTAAGTGGAGTGAGTTTTATCCAACTCGTTTCTTTTGATTATAACAAATGTGTCGTCGACGTAGGGTATCCAAATCTTGGGTTTGATCTTTAATAGAATTATGTTTTCGAGTCTTTGCATCACTGCCTCTGCAATCAAACCTGATATTGGCGATCCCATGGGTGTTCCTTTGACTTGTTCATATATTTGGCCGTTGAATTGAAAGTATGTTGTTAGGCATAGATTTATGCATTCCATCCAGCTTGTGTGTTGCATTTTTGATTGTTGTGGAAGTTGTTCGTCGTTGCTAAGTAATTGCTCCATGGTTTCTTTTGCTAGTTTTTGTCCGATAGAGGTATATTTCACAGGTTCTCACCATCTACAAGTCTCCAAAAATTACAATGGTTATAAATAATCACATTTCATACTTCAATGTTTGGAAGGCAATAGAGAATGCATTATAAGGTGAACGCATCTGGAATATAAGTATTACAATTTATAGTTTAAGTTACCATCAATTTATATTCTGTCAAACTATGAACGAAGAAAAAGGAGGTTGAGAGAAGACAGAAAACAGAAAATTCTAATAGACAGTGTCAACATGGCAACTCAAGAAGGTCAAAGTTCATCAATTTGAAAACTTGCTTAGTGAGTTGAGCTGACTAGTGTGTATGACTAGTCAGTGTAATAAAAGTAATACGGTTACCAAAGGAGTGAAGGATTGACTACACTCTCCTTCTGTGTGCATAGGTTCGGTCTTCAACACTTGATTGCAATCGCTTCAGCGAATCGCAATAGTGCTTTTGGGGAGCGTCTCCCAAAAAGCACTATCAATGCACTAAATGATCTAGTGGAATCGCAATAGATCAGCTTTCCTTTGTATGCTTAATATTTTGAAGGATTTGGAAATTTGGACAAAATGACCCGTATCCACATGGTAGGTGTCTGGTAATTGCACTTTGTAAATATCTGCTTCCTTTTAAGCAGAAATGCTCTGAAAACCTGATAGAAGCATTTTTTTCTGTCTTTCGAATGTAGTTGCTGCCGCAGGTGCACGTAAATTTATAAATGCAGTTGGAGGTAATATCAGCAGGGTAGTTATCCGGTTTTGACTGCCTTATAGAGCATGTAGTACTGTATAGCGTCACCAGCTTGGCTGCCGAGAAGCACTTCTGTCTTGCTCCTTTCATCTTGTCCTCTTTTCAATCTTTTGCGATACTGTTTCTCCTTTGTATGGAAGGCAAATGAACAATTTCTTCTTTTCAACTGTTGGGCATTTCTCTTTCTCATCTCCTTGTTTGCTGTAATTCAGGATAAATCCCTTTGAATAACCGCTGTTTCTTAAGGCATTTTTCAACAAAGCTTAATTCTTCTTCTACCTTGTTAGGCGAACGTAACTTCCTAGCCTTGTCGTGCTGTGTCCTTACTAATCCCCGCTTATAACTTATCGGACAGAAGCTGTTTTAGTGAAGATATTGTCCAGTCCAGGTTTCTTTTCTGTAGACGGACTTTTCGATCGTTCCATCGTTTCTTCTTTTTACATTTAGGTCCAGGAAATTGAACTCATCGTTTTGTTTATATTCCCTGGTAAATTTATTGTATTGGTGGATCTCAATAAGGCGGTCAAATAATACGGATGCCTGACTCATGTCGTTACAAACAATAAACGTATCATCGACATATCGACGATAGTATGTTTTTTCATAGATAGCGTCACTCAGTTGCGTCTGTTAGAGATAGCTCATGAAGATATCTGCTAGAATGGGTCCTAGAGGTGAACCCATGACGACTCCGTCAATCTGTTGGTAGAATTGGTTATTAAATCTAAACTGGGTGTCTTTTGTGCAAAAAATTAGTAGTCGTTTTATCTCTGACTCCAGTAATGACAATAGATATGTTTGTTTACAAATGATATCTATTGTTTCCATCACTGGTAGGTACATTTGTAAATAAGGCAGTCACGTCGTATGACACCATTAGTTTATTTGATACGTCAACGTGATCGACTTCTTCAGAAAATTAGGTTTCCAATCCAAGCTATGATTCTTCGCTGATGGATTGTCTTTTCACTAAATGAAAAATCATATTGAAGTCAAAGCAAGATTTCGAGCGAACAATTATTTTCGATAACTTCTTCTTCAGGCTCTACAGTTATAAATCCATGAATAATACAGTACACATATAGCCAATAAAGGCAAATGAAAATAATATCAGAAACTGTATTGGGGGTTGCATGTGTAAGTTGAGATGATAGTCGTCCATTAGTTAACATAGTCAATTTAATGTGTATAGGGTGTATAGTCAGAAAAATGTGATGAAGTGTGAATGACCAATTGAGTGATATAGTGTTGTTTTATAGTCAACAGAATACAAGTGTCATTTGGGTGAGAGAAATGCGATAACCACAGAATACATACAAACATACATTAACAAAGGAGGCACTGGATGTGAGGGCTGACCGATAATACTCAATGATAAAATAAAGAGGCTAAATTGTAAATTGTAATAAAATGCTACAGAATTGGTAGGCTTAGTATAAAATCATAAAGGTTGACAAAAAATAAGGGTAATAATAAGGTGAAATAAACTGCGTGGAGAAATGGATAATAAAGACATGATATCACAAAATGATAATAATAGTACGAAAAATTATGATCCTGGTGACTTTATAGTGGGCCAGGGTAGACAAAGAGAGTGAATAAGTTTTTTCTGTACGCATAGGTCTGGTCTTTCTCTAAAGCCTCAGCTATGGCTAGGAGGCGTAATCGTGTGTCTTCGGGGAGATTGTTCGGTACTGGCTACACAACTATAAATGACTCGTCTACTTTGATGCTGTGTTCGCTATCCACTAGATGAGACAGAATTGCACTATTTAATGATTTCGTTGCTCTTTTCTCAAGCCAAACAGGAATATGTTCAAGAGTGTGTAAATATAAATTCCTTTGAGTACGATCTATATAACTAGCTCCACAGGAGCAGTTGAATTTATATATACACACATTGATGTCGCCATTTTGAGTAATCTATCCTTAATGCACTGTGTCAATACCGGTTTGGTTGAGAAGCTGACATGCAGTCTTGCGGCATTAAAAGTTCTTTCAATTGATCTCGTTAATCTACGGTTTAATATATCGATGGATATATCGCTTTTAAATTGTACATTTAAGTAAAGCTTTTTCTTACTTACTGTGTCTCGCTTGGTTTTATGTGTAGTTTCATAGATATACTTCTTTACAAAGTTGACAGGATAGACGTTTTGTAGCAAAGCGTTTGTAAGATTCCTTATTTCATCTTCAATACAATCCTCAGTATATATGCGTCTAATTCTATGACTAAGACAACGAATTAGGTTGCGCTTATATTGTATAGGTATGAAGCTATGGAATTGATTGTATTGTCCATTCCATGTCGCTTTCCTATAGATGTTTCTCTTTAAGGTACCGTTTGTTCCTTTTGTAAGAAGAACATCCAGAAATGGAATACTACCTTGGAGTTCCTCTTCAAAAGTGAATTTAATAGCTGGGTGTACCTTATTGAAGACTTGGAGCCGGTGTTGTCTATCCATATTATTGTCACAAATGATAAAGGTATCGTCAACATATCGACAATAATAATTAAGTTGGTTTAGTATCTCTTTTAAAGGACCATTTTTCAATTTAGATAGAAATATGTCAGCTAATTAAGAGACCAAGGGGAGAACCCGTAGCAACCCCACCTATCTGGCCTGTAATACTCCTGATTAAATACAAATTGAACGTTCATAGTGCATTTTAGTAGTTACTCTTTCAATTTTCTTGGTGTGATTCCAATTTCTAGTTTCTTTTCTACGAGTTGCTCGCATATCTAGTCGACAGTTTCTACAGGGGGACGTTTGTCAATAGTGATGTTACGTCTCTTTATTGCTACTCGATTCTTTATTTTTTTATTTTTCAGGATTTTCCACCAGAAATAAATTCCAAGAAGAGTATCCTAAATTAAATGAGTAACAAACACAACAGGTATTTGGAGATGAAATCTCGTTATTACATCACCGTCATCATCAGTCATATATATATATTGGGTTCTAATGTACAGGAATCTTTTGAACAAAGCTTAGTTTTCCAGAACGTAAAAACTTACAAATTATAATTTACGTGAAGTATTTGCCTTCAAGTGAATACGACAAGTCCTTCAGTAATTAATATAAATATCATTATGTGATCATCTATCTATATGTAGCATATTAATAAGGGTTATAAAACCACGAAATAAAATACTTAATAAGAAAAGTGGCTTTCTGATTGAATTTCGATTTTCCTTTGATGACTGATTCGACGGAAATGCTCTGCTCTTGTTGGCATGTAACCTTCTAATACGTATGCTTCAACGATGTCTGTGGATTGATGGATAGTGACTAGCAGTGGATGCTCATTTCGTCCCATTTGGGACACATCAGTTGGATACGCCTGCATTTTCCCAGAGAGTGATGGTGTTCTCAGTGAGTCTCGAACCAAGTTATGCTTGATTGCAAGGGAAGTAAATGAAACACATTTTTAATGAAGATATGATAAGATTAGGGTATGATAAGGCAGTCACGTTGAAAATATAAGTAACCGGTGGTGGTGTAGAAGTCAACAGTTGGTTATGTCTTAATTAGCCAAGGGAAGGATAATGGCTGTATGAACTTCTTTTGAATGTATAGTTTAGGTTTGATAGTTTGAATGTTTATGACGTCAGCTACATGCGGTGGACCAATACGTAGTTTAATGGAAAGATTCGCTGAGATGCGATGATTTACCTTGAAAGCATTCATATATTCTAGTAAATAACTACTGTCAACTTAATATGCCAATACGCGGCTAGGGATTGTGGTTGGCTGTCATTTGTCAAACAGTGATGGGCTAAGCTGTCTAGTAGTAAGTAGTACACCCAGCATAACTGTCACCTCAGGTGAAGTTGAATTGATAAATGCACCTAGATTTGACAGAACTCTCTAGCTTATCCTTCGTTTGCATCCCAATCATTCGTCGGCTAGAGTATGACAGACACAGATTTACTGCGTAAAACGTTCTTCGTATACTCCTAGAAAGTCTCTGGAATCAAATCTCCCTTGGCAAGTCACCATTAAACTGTAGCTCAATGAATAGAGGTTTTATATATTCAGTCATGGTTTAAACAAATATCTCAAACAACTCTTTATAAAAAAACTGATCAACCTAGGAGCGTACAATGAACTCAGATCAAAAGCTGGACGCCTTCCGTTAATATACGGTCTACCCAACATTTATCAGTCCAATGTACCTTTAAGACCTATACTGTCAATGATAAACGCACCAAGCTGAAATATACCTTGACTGTTAACTGATTCCTTGAGGCCTATCTGAAATAAATTTGCAATCCATAGCTTGAAAGATACCTATAAATTTCCCAAAGAAGTTCAACATATCGATATATCAAATAAACTCATGGTATTTATAAGATGTGACCGCCTGATTTACCAATATACTATTGATGGAAACAGTTGGCATTATTTGTCAAACTCCTAAGCGTTATTTACTAGACCTCTTGGGCCAAATATTTTGGTCCAGTCAGTCAACAGGAAAATCAAAATTGAATTGAAGATAAATAATGATTGACACCCCTTGCGAAAGAGATGACTTTGGCGGCCCAAGTGGTGTAACGCATAGCGTCCTGACGGTTGGAAGTCTCTTTCTGTTCGGTTCTTTGTTTCCTACTATCATTTTTAGTAGTATTGGTCTATCTCATTGTTCTAAAGTGTCAAGGGTATCGAAATTCATGCCTGCTAAAATAGTGAAAAAGTGAATGGTGTTAGCATGGCGCTACATTGCTTTGAGTAGTTGCACACCAGTCAGCTCAAACAGTAGTTCTTGCTAGTCAGGTTGAAGTGATTTGAACACCAGAAAGCTGTTTCTCTTGGTTTGGAGTCGGTTGAACTCATCCGTCGTCTGCTCACTTTGAGTCTGCTGATGTCAGCTCATGACGAAATCCTCCATCCAATCAAAAAATTCTTACAAAACCAATACTTGAAAATTAATCTGATTCTGGTCAGCAACTGGCCCTATTCAAGCAGTTAACCTGGGGTTCTAGTGGGTAGCCGTGACCAGTAGGGTACAGCAGGTTCAAAATTAGGCAGTAACTCATCGAAAAAGACAATGCGAAACAGTCGCGCGATGTCGTGAATTGGCAGAAGTTAGAATTCATGCCCTGGCTAGTGGGTCGGGCCCCAGTGGCTTAATAGTCTACGGGCTCGTCCTGTAACCAGAAGGCTCTGGGTTCGAACCCTGGAGGTGGGTGCTCGCCGATGAAGAGTCCCAAACTAGGACGAAACAGCTGTCCAGTACTCTCAGGTTTTCCACTGGTTCTCCAACTGATGTTAGCTCATTATGAACCCTTCTATGCAATCTGCCTAGAGAGCTGAATATTTTCAGAGTGACAGATTTCTGACTGGCCGATTGAGTAAAATGCCACATACGTCTGCAGAATCGAATTCACAATTTACACAATTTTACCACAGGAGGAAACCAACAAGCTGAAAGAAGAAGAAGGCCGCAAAGACGGAAATTCAAGTGAACATAGAGAGGATGGAAGTGATGAAGGTAATCAGCCAACAACCATAAAAACAACCAATCACCATTAATGGAAGAAATTTGAAAGAAGTCATTTACTTCAATTATCTAAGCGCCATTGTTTCAACAACGGACAGCTGAAACCGATGAGGCTGTCAAAACAGCAATTGGAAAGGCAGCATACATCTTCATCATCCTGATCTTAGTTTGGAGATCTCCTGCATTCACTATAAAGAACGAAATCTGGCTTTTGCAACACCAATATTAAGTCGGTCACTTCTACTGTAACAACAGAAGACAAGGGCCAGGCAACAGATCGTTTTATGACGAAAATCAACGCGTATTTATATATATTTTATGTACATTAATAAGGCTTATGCAAGCAGAAAAAGGCAGTCTTCTAATTGGTTGTTTCTCGGAAGACAAACACAGTCTCCTGATTGGTTGTTTTCTATATTTCTCGGAAAGTAGAGCCATTTATCTGCGAATCATATTTGCCCACGTTTAAGTCTGCTGTGATTGGTTGTTGAATCAGCCTAGATTAATATCTACCAATCAGCGTCGATTAATGTCTACCAATTGGCTAGCAGCCTGCTCTCGCCACACTACGATATGGGTCCAGTACTTGGTGGGCACGTCACAAAAAGCATTTCCAACACACTGCAGACTTGTATCAGCGGTTTCATTTTCGGGTTCTACACTGCAATTCAGAGAACCAGCTAGAAAGAATTAGTAGCAAGAAGCTCTGGAAACTAACCATTCAAAAACCTACCGGTTAACAAATATTTTGAAGAAAACAGAGATGGATCAACACACACTGACGAGACCGGTGAGTGAATTACACACTAGGCCATTGCTTGAGTGAAATGAGAAATGGTGAGTTGGGTGAGAGCCCGAGAGTGTCATGACAACATCGTGTGATGAGGAGATAAGCGATTATGGGCAGTTTAGTGGCCAGCCATAAGGGACTTCAGATAACAAGATGAAGAAGAGATGTGCTGTTGAAGCCATATATTGGATTTGGAACGCTAAGGGATTTGTCTTGTTGTTGCGTAGACTACCTGTAATTGAAACAATGATGTAGACGTAAGTGAATGGGCTGACTTCCTCTAGGCTTCTCCCATTGATGATGATTGGTAAGTGTTGTTGTTGTTGTTGATGTGTTAGGTATCTTCATCAACTCTGTCTACGATATGATTCATGAGTTTCACGAGAATTGAAACTCAAGTAAAAGTTATGACACAACAAAACTGAAATTGAAATCCACTATTTCCAGAATAGCTTCCATTCAAGTATGCTAAGTATTTCTTAAAATAAAAGTAGATTTCAGCGTTAATTGAACATTAGGCAGCAATTAACTTCTAGAATAAGTTTAGTCCTTTGTTCGGTATTGGAGGCATTCTATCAGTAATGTTTACAATGTGGCCACTATGGTTTTCCATCACAATGCAATTCAAGCTGAAGATGACCTCAATTGTAACGTCTCTGACTGTATACCTAGATAACACGGTTTAGAATTTCAGAAGAGGCACGAGTCCTTTCAGGGTTGGAAATACACCTTGCTGACTTGCGACAGCATAGAAACACGAAACCATGATCAGGAAGGGTGTCGTGCCAATTTTCTCCACCTATCTAATAACAACAGTAATTCAGCTAAACTTCATATGAATACAACACGAATAATATTTTGTGCAGAATACAATGGTACCATGATTTATTCCGTTGGATTCTCATCAACTGCTTGCAGCCCAAGGACATTCCTTAATAAGACTTGTGTACAGAAACATACAGCAACATACTAACACAGAGAGTTCATTTTTGAACAAAAAATCGACGTATGCATATGATTTGAACAAGGCATTAAGAAGACAAATTTCGCGAGATGATATCATTTCGTAGTTTCTTTACAACCGCTTTACAACTAACATGGTTAACAATGATAAAATAAAGTTCATGAAAATTACTCAGTTAAATAAAAACAAAAGTACATACTAATGACCAATCATATTAAGATAGGTCATGCAGTCCAGGGTAGGCGAAGATTGAAGTCTATTGATTTTTGTACACACAGTTTAGGCTGTATGTGATTAATCCAAAGTGCTTCCATCACCTTCAATAACCTTGAATTAGAGTTATGTGAAATAATTGTGAAACAGTCATTAATATTTATTTTGTGACCAGACATTAATAAGTGTTTTGCAATGGATGATGCTGGATTTCTATTAAGATTAATCGCGTTGGGATTTTCGATATGGTTTACTAGCCATTTTGGAATATGTTCTTTTCGACGACATTGGAACATTCTGTTAGTTCTACCTATATAGGTGTCACCGCAGCTGCAGGTGAACTTGTAGATACAGTTTGAAGTAGAGTCCACAGAATTTCGTCCTTTAATCGTAGGAACAGGGATCGAAAATGTTCGGCAAGTGAGAAAAAGAGATGCGGCGTAGAATGTGCGTTTGATGGCTGATCGAAGTCTTTGAGTTGTCAACTGCATAATCTGGTCGCCCTTGAATGGTAGATTAATAAAGATGGCTTTCTTTGGTACAGAAGCTGTCTTTTCGAGATGTGGTTTTTCTTTGCTGTGACAAGTGATAAAGCTCTCCGGATAACCATTAGCTAATAAAACTGAATGTACATGTCGAAGCTCATCCATCAGTGTGTCACTCGTGCATATTTTTCGGGCCCTTGAGAACAAACATTTCACTAGGGAACGTTTATACTGGATAGGAACAAAACTGGTAAAATGAAGATATTGTCCAGTCCATGTTTGTTTACGAAAAATAGAGCGCTGAATCGTTCCATCATTTCTCCTAGTCATAGTAATATCCAGGAAACCAAGTTTGTTATTCGATTCTAGTTCGGAAGTCACTCGAATATTTGGATGAATATGATTAAATAGAGTAATGAAGTTTTCAATAGATTCACTATTATTACCAATAATAAGAGTATCATCAACATAACGTTTATACAGCATAAATCCTCCAAGCATACCTTGCATTTGTTTCTCTAATTTCGACATAAATATATCTGCTAACAGGGGCCCCAGAGGGCTCCCCATCGCAACACCATCGATTTGTTTATATGCCTTTTCTTGGAATGTGAATCTAATATTTTCTGTACACATTAAGATTATGTCTTTGATGTAAGTGACGGGAATGGGTAAGTTTATGCCATTGCTTGTGATGTAATCGCAAATAAAATCAACAGTTTCATGAAGGGGAACATTGGTGAATAAAGATTCTATGTCAATTGAACACATAACCTTTTCCTTAATGTTCAAGGTGTCCAGCATTTCTGTAAGATCAAATGAACTTTTTACAGAATGATTTGATAATGAGTCTCTTACAGGCGTAAGGACCTCTGTAATCCATTTGGCGATTTTATGATAAGGAGAATTTGACATGCATATGATGTTAATAATAAAAATAATAACGATAACTTTATCCAAACAAAAATAATAACCATACGAAATGGAATTTTCGGCGTAACGTAATTAAATGAAAGATCCTCGTTCAAAAGGATCCAAATCAATGGAACTATTGAAATCATTTATCAGATTTTGATCTTCTCCTAAATCCAGTATCGGAATCCAAACTCCTACTGCTAATTTGTACCACTGTGATAACACTATTAACTATTTACTGCGTGCTGTTTTAGCAGATATCTTCATATGCAGCCTTGAAAGAGCAAAAGTGAAGCATACAATCGACGAAACAACCTATTCGTTGGTGTATCGATGACACATATGCAATGTGCAACAATGAAAGTCATGTTTCCTACCTACTCGGATCACTCAACGACATAAATACGGATACTAAATTTAATATGGAACATGAGAAATGATGGAAAATTTCATTTCTTCGACACCTTCATGCAATGCGTGGAATATGACAGTCTTTTGCGGTCACCTTACAGAAAGCCAACATGGAATGAGCAATAATTATATTTCAATAGTTTTTGTGCAAATAGCTATAAACGACTACTAGTTAAGACTTAGGTCTATAGAGCCAGGAGAATAATCTGTACAGAGAAACTAGAGGAGGAATTTATGATTCTCGAAAAGATGTTGAAAAAAAATGTCTACTTTCAGAAATGTGTTAACAGGTAGGAAAGATGTGAAGGCTCACATGCCAGACAGACCACAGTGAGAAAAGAAAGGTATCTCCATTCAAATCAATTTTAAAGGTGATTATATTACAGGAATAGTCAACAGAAGATTGAAAACCTCAATAGCCGAAACCTATCCTCCAGCTAAGTTACATAGGATGTTAAAGGTTGTCAGCAGGGTAAGCAGTTTGTCACTTAGCCAGCTCGTGAATATTCTGGTGGACAGGCACATAGACTCATGTGAAAAATGGGCAAAAACCATTTTATCTGACTCACAAGACCCTCTACATTCACAACTCTTCCCATGTATCTCTTCAGGGAAAACCAGAAGCCTATATAGAAAACTATACGCCCGCACTAGCAAGTACAAAAACTCATCCATACCCTACCTAGCTCGTGTTTTGTGCGACAGAGAAGAAAGCATTAGGCGTGAAACCTTTAACTTATTAAATAGTCAGTAGAACAAATGGATCTCGTCTTTCCAAGTCACATCATTTACAGGTACAACGTTTTCTCTCTACCTTTTTTTTTGTTATGTGTTGTTTTGTTTCTCTTTTCCTTGCAAACTCTACTTAAAACATTCTTGTTCGTTCTTTCACACTCTGTATATCTCGACATTTTGCTATCGCTTACGCCAGTAAATATGCTAGTAGTATCTACTTTTCTAACACCTTCAAACACTCTGTTTAAATTTTGGCTTTTGCCACCGACATGCTAATATGTTGTTGTCAAAACTGGCTGAGATAACCTTAATCTATGTAGAACTATATTTATTGTTAATGCTACTATACGGATCAGAGACTTGGCGAGTCATAAAGAGCATCTCGAACAAACTTCAGACCTTCATTAACAGCTGTCTTCGCTCAATACTCAAGATCAGATGGCCAGAAAAGATCAGCAACAGGGATCTCTGGGAGCGAACCAATCAGGAACCGATTGTGAAACAAATAGGCAGGAAGAAATGGAGATGGATTGACCATACGCTGGGGAAACCATCAAGTGACATCACTAGACAAGCCATCGCTCGAGCGGAACCCGAAAGGGAGGCGGCGAGTTGGTCGTCAGTGCAAGGGTGACTTGGAGGAGGTCATGCGAGGAGGAGATGAAAGCATGTGGACAGACCTGGAGCAGGGTGAGAAAGTTGTCAGAGAACCGAAGGCAATGGAGGTGCGCAGCTTAAGCCCTATATTCCTCTAGGAACTAAAGGATACAATAATAATGTGCTAACTGGATGCAATGTTGTAGTAAAATGCTGAGAATTCCATTCTGTATCACAAGTACTGTTTTGGAATAAAGCTTATCTTATCTTATCTTAAAAGTTGGTTCCCGTTTATTGAACAGCACGCTTTTTTGTACAATCAACAGTCGACAGATACCCACTCTTATTATTATTTAAATACTAACTAATTACACAGATTTGCGTGTATCTGAGGTAGCAGTTGAATCAGCAGAGAAGAAAGACGACCAGGCTTTCAAATTCCTGAACACACACCAAAAAGTTCAAGTCTCAACGGAACCAATACCTGAAACAGTACTATTGTCACTCATTCTTTTTTTGACACGAGTCATAAGGCGGACATCAAAAAATCCTTCAAAATTATCAGTAGGCAAAAGAATTCAGTTCCTTTCAAGTTTAACAAAGCAATCTCAATCAAGCGCCTGAAACTCGATTTAAGGATTCAGAAAGAAGCGGTTATCAGTATTTCCTTGCATATCCTGGTAACCGGATGTATTTATCCCTTCTTTAATTTGATTATGTAACACCAAAAACTCCATTTTGTATGATTATTATTGTTTGGGATAAAGTGATTAATATCATTATTAGTGTTGTTTGCATACATGGCACTTTTGTTTTAAAAAAGGAATTCATTTTGTGTGTTAAGATTATTTCTGTCTGGAAGGAGGGAAAGGTGCCTACTGACTGGAGGAAAGGTTACCTCGTGAAACTATAAAGGAAGGGCGACTTAGGACTCTGCAAGAACTGGCGAGGAATCATGCTCCTGTCGACGCCAAGTAAAATCCTGAGTCGCATCATCCTGAAGAGATTAAAGGACGCACTGGAGACAGAACTCCGACCAGAACAAGCTGGATTCAGGAAAGGCGAATCATGTACTGACCAAATTGCAGCTCGACGCATCATCATCACAGAACAAAGCATGGAATGGCGATCAAACCTCTACCTCAACTTTATAGACTTTGAGAAGGCCTTCGACAGCGTTGATCGTGAAGTAATTTGGAAATTACTCGAGTACTACAGCGTACCCCAAATATTCATCAACCTTATTCAACAGCTGTACGACAACGGCACCTGCCAAGTGATCCACAACGGAAAACTCAGCGAGGCGTTTGGAGTAAACACAGGAGTCAGACAAGGGTGCTTATTATCACCGATGAATGATATTCCTAGTTGTGGTGGACTGACTGGATTATGCGTCAGACAGTGAGTGGGAAACGAGAAGACAGATATATCCTGGACCGATGTGAAGAACCTAGAAGACCTGGATTTCGCGTGTGGATGACTTATGTTTGATGTCACTGTCACAAAATCGAAGACTTACAAGCGAAAACCGACAAACTGGTCGAAGAAGCAGCCGGCGAAGACAGGACTTCAGACAGGACAAGATGGAGGTTATGAAAATTGCCAACCAACAACAACAGCAACATCCGGAGCCAATCACCATCAGCGGGAGGGATTTGAAAGAGGTTACTTCATTCACTCACTTATCTAGGGATCATTGTCTCAACTACAGGGAGTCGGGACGGACTAGGATGTCAAATAGAGCGAGAATCAGGAAGGCGACAAACACATTCATCAACCTGAAATCAATCTGGAAATCTTCGTCATCAACTCAGCATCAACAAAAAAAATTCGGTTGGATTTTCAATACAAACGTAGAGTCAGTCAGTTCTTCTATACGGATCAGAAACTTGGCGGGTCACAAAAAATATTTCTAAAAGGCTGCAGAAATTTATTAACAACTGTCTTCGCTCAATACTGAAGATCAGATGGCCGAGCCGGAAAGAATCACCAACAAGGAATTATGGGAACAAACAAAGCAAGAACCAATCGCCAGCCAACAAATATGCAGGAGAAAGTGGAGATGGATGGATCGGACACTCGCTGAGGAGACTGCTGGGTGACATCGCGCGCCAAGCCCTCGAGTGGAACCCTGAAGGGAAGCGGCGTGTGGGACGTCGGTGCAAGTGTGACATCGAGGAGATAGTGTGAAGAGGAGTTGAAAGAATATGGATTAACATGGATGCAGGCGAAAAGTATAGCAGAAGACAGAAGAAAACGGAGACGTGCAGTTGAAGCCCTATGTTGCACTAGGAACCCAAGGGAGCAATAATTATTATATTATTATTGTATCCTTTAGTTCCTAGAGGAACATAGGGCTTCAGCTGCGCACCTCCATTGACTTCGGTTTTCTGACAACTTTTTCACCCTGCTCCAGGTCTGTCCACATGCTTTCATAGAGCTCCACTTCTTTCTATTTGATGGTGTCCTCTTTAGCTAGGACCACCATTTCCCATATTCCCTCATCTTCTCCTCACCACATGATCTCTCCCATGTCACGGTCACAGTGACGACTAACTCGTAGGTTCCCATTGGGATTCCACTCAATCGATGCTCTAAATTGTGCGCGATGTCACTCGACTGCCTCTTCAATGTGTGCTTGATCCATCTCCGTATTTTTGTTGAGCATTAGACTCTTTGGTGGTTTGTTACCAGCTAGAGTTTCTTGTAGCTAATTCTTTATGGTCGGCTGGCCATTTGATCTTCAGTATGTGGCCAACCAAGGTGGATATTGATGTTAGTCTGTAACTTGTTGGAAATGCTTATCGTGAATCATGCGCAGGAGACGTTTCTGACCTGTATGGAAGCAGTGACTGATTGACTTCACATTTGTTTTGAACAGAATCAGAATTATAAGAAAAGGCAAAAACAGCGAAGAAAATTTTCTCTGTTCGACGATTCATTTTCATCAGCTCATGTGAAATCGTAATTATAATTAAACACATAAGTTTTTGACCAATCAGATACTGGTAAACTTTGTCCTTGAAAATTCTACTACTTAATGTGAGGTGTAAGAAGGGATGACTAATTGTAAGTTAAAAAGGAAACAGAAGTTGGCATGACCTAATTAATAAGTGTGAGATAATGACTAATCAATAAGCCCGTGTAGAATGGACAGGAGCACTAGTGGAAAGGCTATAAAGTATTTTTGTATAAGATCTGTGTGAAAAAGCAATGTTATTAATAAACAGTCATAGAGTAGTAATAAAATGAGGGACTCTGTGTACCACTGTGAGTCCCTCAATATCGTTCAAAAGGACTCCAGATACGACATCTGTACATAGCTGAGGCATTAGCTATTCGTGACATAAAACCGGACCTATGCATACAAAAACGATACATACATTCTCTAGCCCTACCATGACCAGAGTAAATTTATTACTATAATTTTTCTCCTCTCTTTTAATATGTAAGTTCACTATTATCATTGTTCTTAATACTTTTATTATTATTATTACTATTCCCACTATTCACATTTTATTACTACTCTATTACTGTTTATTAATAACAGTGCATTTTCACACAGATCTTATACAAAACTACTGTATAACCTTTCCATTAGATCCTGTCCATTCTACACTAGCTTATTGATTAGTCATTATCTCACACTTATTAATTAGGTCATGCCAACTTCTGTTTCCTTTTTAACTTACAATTAGTCATCCCTTCTTACACCTCACATTAAGTAGTAGAATTTTCAAGGACAAAGTTTACCAGTATCTGATTGGTCAAAAACTTATGTGTTTAATTATAATTACGATTGCACATGAGCTGATGAAAATGAATCGTCGAAAAGAGAAAATTTTCTTCACTGTTTGTGCCTTTTCTTATGACTCAATATGAGAATATTTCGTTCATTGAGAATCAGAATTCTCTTCTTTACGCTGGCTTAGTAAATGAAGCAGAAGATTTCCAAACTAGTTTAAGGTTGATGAAGGCATATCTTGCCATTAAGACTCTTGCCTCTTTAACATCATCCGTTCCGACTGCCTGTAGTTGAAACGATGCTGCCTAGATAAGTGAAGGAGGTAACCCCTCTGTCGAATCTGCACATAATTAACCCATTGACATTTTGATACTGTTTAATTATTGTTAACAAACTTATAACTACTTGATTGGTAAACTGTTGTATCGTAATAAAAATGCTATACGCGTATATTAGACTAGAGTTAAAGATGAGGATCTTATTGAAAAGTAAACATTTCTTCGCTCCATCTTCCGGTTTTCTAAATGTTTAAATGGGGATTTTTTCTATATTAATAATATCTATGGGCTGTTAGCAGATGATGAGATGCTGATAAAATAGATGATTGTACATGATTATTCTACACAAGCCACTGTCGTTCTTACTTTATTCGAAATACTTCAACACATAAGTAAACAATGGGATGGAATAAAACATATTAGGTTTATGATCAATTTTTATTGAACTTTATATTGATCGAAATATTTAAATTTCGCCTTCTTATAAAGCAATATACATTGTTCTTATATTTTGAGACAACGGAAACTTTTGGGATGTATTTCATTAAGTTAATTCATATAGTTTGAAATAATCATTGCGGATTATTTAATTCTATTTATCACATCTCATTTAAAAAGGAATATTTTACGCATTCTCGAAGAGATCTACTGAAATACACGTGAGTCATCTAATTCTATAAGTTTTCAAGTATTGGTTTTGTAGGGATTTTGTTTGATTGCATCGAGGACCATTGGATCGGGTCCCAGTGGCTCAATGGTCTACGAGCTCGCCTTGCAACCAGAAGGTCCTGGGTTCGAATCCCGATGGGTGAGTACTGCTGAAGAGTCCCAAACTAGGACGAAACAGCTGTCCAGTACTCCCAGCTTGTTTTCCAGTGGTTCTCTAACTGATGTCAGCTCATGATTAAATCCTCCATGCAATTCTATAAGTGTATATTATTTTGAAAGACTAATTCATGAGTGAACGAGGAATATTATTCCTTTTGATGACTTCCACTTCATCCGGTTCTACAACACCAATGTTTTAAAACACACCTTGTCAGTAGTATGGATAGATTATATTTCATCAAAGCATCTGTAAGAGAGAGAGATAATATACCTCAACATAACAGTGAACTGATTGTATATGAGATAAATTAAGGAAGGTAATAGAGAAATTAGGAATTTATCAGCTTGACAGCAAATCATGATAGCAGTAGTCACTGAGATCTAGTTGATTCAAGCCAATTGCAATGGCCCCTGTTGATTGGAGTGTTTGATATCTAGAGGCCTTTGAGTAATTCATTCAATACCAGATAGACGATAGAGAAAGACTCTTCATTGTGGTTAGCTTTGTAACCTGTCTCGACGAAATGATCTGATATGGTACTGTTGATAGTTTTAACAATGCCTTTGTTCCCTTGGGCACAAGACTTAGGTTATTAGGTTTATGACTCGACTCTGTGACATGCTTTTTTGATAGATGACTTTTGAGAGTATATTTCCAGAGTAAGTGGAGTTCGGTGGTTCCATTCATCCTAGTAGTCAATTGAGAATATGTTTGGTGAACGTAGCCTGCATATATGCTGGGGTCATGCATGCAAGTAATTGGGTGGACACTACTATACGGATCAGAGACTTGGCGAGTCATAAAGAGCATCCCAAACAAACTTCAGACCTTCATTAACAGCTAACTGTCTTCGCTCAATACTCAAGATCAGATGGCCGACCAGAAAAGATCAGCAACAGGGATCTCTGGCGATGAGCGAACCAATCAGGAACCGATTGTGAAACAAATAGGCAGGAAGAAATGGAGATGGATTGGCTGGCCATACGCTGAGGAAACTATCAAGTGACATCACTAGACAAGCCATCGCTCGAGCGGAACCTGAAAGGGAGGCGGCGAGTTGGTCGTCAGTGCAAGGGTGACTTGGAGGAGGTCATGCGAGGAGGAGATGAAAGCATGTGGGCGGCAGACTTGGAGCGGGGTGAAAAAGTTGTCAGAAAACCGAAGTCAATGGAGATGCGCAGCTGAAGCCCTATGTTCCTCTAGGAACTAAAGGATACAATAATAATAATAATGTAGGATAAGACATTACCGTCCAGCCACTATAAAAGTTTACGTTTATTATTTACTTTATTATTCCCTTGGTTTCCAAATAGAACATGGGGCTTCAATAACACATCTCCACTTCATTCTCTCTGGAGCTGTCTTCTTCAGCTGGATCCATGATTGCTCATAATCTCTCATCCCGTCCTTGCCACACAATCCACTCCATGTCACCCTTGTACTGATGAATTATCAGGATTCCACCAGTCATATCAGAGGAGGATAATAAATAATCTCAAAATTCTATTTCAATTCAAGTGCATCATAACTTTCTAACAAGTTACTTATTTATTTTGACTATAAAAACACTCGTCTTATTTCCCATCTGATTATATTTGATCAATAACACTCATATTATTATTTCCGAATGTATTTTGTCCTATATTAATTTTACTCAAGTGCCTAATCAACCATTACTCATGTATGTAAAGTGAGAAAGAAAGTTGTGTCAGTGAGTACCTTGATATGATTACGAGAAATAAATTGCTCCCGATACATGGTCATCAGCTAATACTACTGCATAACACTGTGTAACTTTATCAAAATAAAATTTTATCCACAATGGAGATATGCTCTGCTACAGTGGCCAATTTTTATCCTTATATCAGTTTAGAAAGTCAGTTTTTTAGAATTTCTGCTACAATATCAGCTTTGAATTCTAGGTATAGGAAGAGAGTTTTACTTAGGTATAGTTGAGATTTTCGGCGGAGGAGGCTTATCTTTGATGCTTTTATCGATAAATCTTGGTGGATACTCGTTCTCTAGTTGGGTTTCGCACTCTATTCTTTATCGTATCTTCTTTAGGATAAGCCGGTGCCTTTAGAGTGAAGAATACGCCAAAGATTTTGTAGAGAAAGACAATGAAATTTAGGAGATCATTGCATTGAGCTCTATCTCCACTTCATCGAATTTGGAAAGGCCTTCAACAGCGTCGATCGAGAGGTCATTTGTCAACTACTTCTCTATTTCGGGTGCAACCGACAATTATATATCTCATCCAACAGTTGTACGACAATGCTGTATGCCAAGTAATCCACAACGGGAAACTTACGGAAGCCTTCGAAGTACAGACGAGAGTGAGGCAAGGCTGTCTACTATCGCCAAAGGTTTTTCTTGATTGCAGTAGATTGGATAATGCGACAAACAGTGGTGGACAACGAGGAAATAGGCGTAAAGTGGGCTCACACAAAAAATTTGGAGGATCTGGACTTCGCCGATGATATATGTCTGATTTCTCACAAATTGGAAGATATGCAAGTGAAAAGCAACAAGTTGACAGGAGAAGCATCCACAGAAGATAGGACTTGCTTTCTTGGATTCCTAGTGGAATATAAGGCTTCAGCTGCACGTCTTCATTTACTTCTGTCTTGCTTCTGCTGTACTTTTCACCTGCATCCATGTTAGTCCATACTGTTTCAACTCCTATTTGCACGATCTCCTGCATATCACCCTTACACCAACGTCTCACTGGCCGCCTCCCTTTCGGGTTCTACTCAAGGGCTTGACGCGCGATGTCACCCAGCGGTCTCCTCAGCGAGTGTCCGATCCATCCATCTCCAATTTCTCCTGCATATTTCTTGGGCAGCGATTGATTCTTGTTTTCTTTGTTCCCATAGTTTCTCGTTGGTTATTCTTTCCGGCTCGGCCATCTGATCTTCAGAATAGAGCGATAGTTGACAGTTGTTGATAAAGGTCTGCAACAGGCTGTTTGAAATATTATTTGTGACCCGCCAAGTTTCTGATCCGTATAGAGGAACTGACTGACTCTACGTTTGTACTGAAAATCCAACCGAACTTTTTGTTGTTGATGCTGAGTTGATGACGAAGATTTCCAGATTGATTTCAGGTTGATGAATGTGTTTGTCGCCTTCCTGATTCTCGCTCTATTTGACATCCTAGTCCGTTCCGACTTCCTGTGGTTGAGACAATGGTCACTAGATAAGTGAATGAAGTAACCTCTTTCAAATCCCTCCCGTTGATGGTGATTGACGTTGGATGTTGTTGCTGTTGTTGGTTGGTTATTTTCATAACCTCCGTCTTGTCTATGTTTACCTGGAGTCCTGTCTTCGCCAGCTGCTTCTTCGACCAGTTTGTCGGTTTTCGCTTGTAAGTCTTCGATTTTGTGACAGTGACATCAAGCAAAAATCATCCACACGCGAAATCCAGGTCTTCTAGGTTCTTCACGTCGGTCCAGGATATTCCTGTCTTCTCGTTTCCCACTCACTGTCTGACGCATAATCCAGTCCACCACAATTAGGAATATCATTGGTGATAGTAAGCACCCTTGTCTGACTCCTGTGTTTACTCCAAACGCCTCGCTGAGTTTTCCGTTGTGGATCACTTAGCAGGTGCCGTTGTCGTACAGCTGTTGAATAAGGTTGATGAATATTTGGGGTACGCCATAGTACTCGAGTAATTTCCAAATTACTTCATAGTCAGCGCTGTCGAAGGCCTTCTCAAAGTCTATAAAGTTGAGGTAGAGGTTTGATTGCCATTCCATGCTTTGTTCTGTGATGATGATGCGTAGAGTTGCAATTTGGTCAGTACATGATTTGCCTTTCCTGAATCCAGCTTGTTCTGGTCGGAGTTCTGTCTCCAGTGCGTCCTTTAATCTCTCCAGGATGATGCGACTCAGGATTTTACTTGGCGTCGACAGGAGCATGATTCCTCGCCAGTTCTTGCAGAGAGGCGTAAGTCGCCCTTCTTTGGTAGTTTCACGAGGTAACCTTTCCTCCAGTCAGTAGGCACCTTTCCCTCCTTCCAGACCTTTTGCAATAATGGAGTCAGCATGTCTGCTGTAGTCTCTGGGTCTGCTTTCAGTGCTTCAGGGGGTATTCCATCTGGTCCGGCTGCTTTTCCAGCTTTCAGAAGCTTGATTGCATTCAAGACTTCAGCTCTCGTTGGAGGATTGGTGTCAACTTGCAGTTGTGTACGCGCTGTTGTTGGTATTTCTGGACGGGTTGCAGGTGGTGGTCGGTTCAAGAGTCCTTTGAAGTGATCCGCCCATTGTTTAATCTGTTTTTCTTCCTTGGTAATTGGGTTCCCTTGGCTGTCTTTTATAGGTTTCGCTTGTGTTGGTCTCTTCCCGGATAGAGATTTGGTTATCTGATATAGTGTCCTCAGGTCCCTTTTGCCTGCTGCCTTTTCAGCTTCAGTAGCTAGATTGTCGTAGAATCGTCTTTTGTCCTTCCTAGCACTCTTCTTCACTTCTTTGTCCAGTGCTTTGTAAGTTGAGCTCATCGTCTCCTTCTCCTGTCCGTCCTTGCATTGAATCATTTTCTCTTTCACCATTCTCCTCTCTTCTATTAATTTCCAAGTGTCCGTTGAGAGCCATTCCTTGTCTTGTCTCTTCTTTCTTCCTAGAACCGTTGAACACGTTTCGTTGAGAATCGCCTTCAGAGACTTCCAATGTTCTTCCACGCATGATTCTTCAGTGATGTCGCGTAGTGTTTCCTGCTTTGCTCTGACAGTTGCAGTGAAAGTGTCTTTTGTGGTTGTGTCCTTCAGTAATTGAGTGTTGAACTTGCATTGTGGCCTATCCCCAGCTATCCTCGAGGCTTTTAGCTTCAC